TTACCTCCAATCGGCAGCTGGACCATTCACATCCAGAATCCAAATCACAATCACGAACCGATTGGTTTCAAGGTAACATACTTGTATGATCTTACCCAGTCAAGTCAAACTGACACTCATCTCTCAACGCTATGAACTTTGCAGCCACATCATGCAGAGTCACATGACATGTCTTTGTCTTTGGCAGTGATCAATCAACGCTCGACCATGGCAAGTCAGTTCCGTTAGTAGTAATCTCACATTGGCCTGTTGGTTTATGAAGTATCATTCAGGTATCCGATAGGCTTTCACGACTTCCGCACCAACTTCGGGCACAGGCCCTTGATGAGATTGATCACGTACTTGCCAAATATTGTATCCTCAAACCACCAATATCAGCCATTCGATCATCTGCGACAGATATCATTCGACTCTCAGAAACGAATACAAGTCAAGAAACCCTTGCCAGTCATCTAGACCCCACCAACTCCTTCATAGGCACTTCCAAAGCTTCCATCACGTCATTATCAGTAGTCGGTACCCCTCATTTTTAACTCTCACGTCTTTAACTCTTGGATTAAACTGACCTTATTGATATGTCATTGTTTTTATAGACAAATACCAGTCGGACGGAAGATATACCTCAACCCATCAGGAAGAAACCAAAAAAGGCCCAGCATACCTCTCCTCAAAAGCCAGATTCGACAATCACAGGCACCAGTCACCTTCTGTCATTCCTCCCACCTCAAATACCTGCTCGATCATCACCACCCCCTCCCTTGTTGATACCGTCACCACCTGTCGCGACTAATCCACACTCGGAACTGTCGCCTCCACATCCACCTTCACTTACACCACACTTCGCACGCAAATCCGACTCAGCCAAGGTCCCACAAAACCCTCCTCTTCGTCCCTGTTTGGTCGATTACGAGTCGGAGCCCGCTGATGAAACCGAGACCTTTGTGAGCTAGCAAAACTACTTCATTCCTTTCTACTCTTTTTTTGGAACGTAATCCATAAGAGTTGAAGATATTGACAGGCGTATATTGCATTACAGCCTTCCCCAAACCTCAGTGCAACGGATTCACCAGATGAGGTGAGTTACCCAATCGAACAATTTTTCACCTTTTTCACCTTGTCGGATTCATGTTCATTACTTGGACTAACACACGGCATCTTTTGAAGCTACCTTCTATCGACCTGGCGAATATAGAACCCATCTTACCACAGCTTTCACCCTCGCCTGGTAATCTCGACGATGCGGACGGAAGCTTCCAATTGGAAAGCCTGTTGCCACGTCCACACCTGACTCAGCCAGACAAAATCGCACCGATTTTACCTGTACTAGAACCATCCACCAAAGTAAGTAGAATTCAAAAATACCCCGGTCTCATACCAAGAAGTACTTTCTCACAACTGTTGTCGTATCAATTTGTAGATCAAGAATCCAAAACATAAGGATAAACCGTCCAAGACTCGGCCTGCTGAAGGTCAGAATGACTTGAACCTTCGTAGATCAACCAGACAACAAGTTGCCGATCCCCTTCCGGTATGTGGTGTTCGCCGGTCGACGCGTACACGCACCTCCAAAAATGTGTGTACGTCCCTTTCAAAACACCTGCGACCTTGCCTCATGGTTATTGATTATGCCAGAGCCCACAGGACAAGCGTGTACCTCATTGGCTTCATGAGTATGTAGATTTTGTGTCAGACCCTCGTGGTGATGGTCATTGTGGATATCGCGCGATCGCTACTAGTCTTGGACGAACTGAAGGCGAATGGATTTTGGTGCGAGAAGAGCTTATTGGCGAGCTCGAGTCCAAAGCCGATTTCTATGAATCACACTTTGGCAGCACGGAAGTATGGCGCTGGTGGTGTAGCTGAACACATTGCAGTACTCAGAACGCAA